ATTTATAGTACCTACTTCATATACATTGTGAAGATGTAAAAGCTAATATATGCAGGCAAGTGTTAAATGCTTAATAAATGTATTCTTGCTAAGAAATCTTCCTTAACCCCTGCCGTGCCTTAGAACCACAAATTTTCCCTCATTGTTGTTGTTTTTATTGTGTACCATGGAGTTGGAACCAACTCATAGCTGATACTCCTGTGGGTTTTCAGAGATAGTAAACAGCACAGGAGGAAATGGCCCATCTTTCTCCTGTGGCACGCCTAGATTTAAACTCCCAGCATTTGGGTTGGCAGTGCAACCCTCTACTATTAAGCCATCAGAGTTTCCTAATACTTTGATAGTATTTCCATCATCGTAATTAACCCATTCTTGATGTTAACGGTTTATCATTTTTTCCTACTGCACCTGAAGCTCATTTCTTTGTCCCTAAATATTTTCTGAGGGAACTATGAACAGAGTAGAACTTCCCCATGTGGCTTCATAGACACTGACTGCCACATCTGTCTCCCCTGGAGGAGCAGGTAGGTTGAAATGACCAACTTGTTGGCTACTAGCTGAACATGTAACCACTGTGCCACTAGAGCTCCTTGTCAGGAAACAAATAAGAAATTACATACTGTGATGCTCACTGGTTAGGAAGTAGGGGAGAGAGTGGAAAAGTTAGGAAGAGCTAGGGACAGAAGCTTATGAGGAGGGAGGGGCTTGCAGCTTGAGAAACTGCAGGGAGACCATCTGCTCACTGGCCCTTAAAAAGCCAATGACTAGGGAGCTTTGGTGGCCTAGTGGTAAGAAGCTGCACTGCAATCCCAAAGACATAAAGTTTGAATCCACCAGATGCTCTGCTGGAGAAGGAGGGGCAAATCTCCTCTGGTACCAGTTGGATCTGATTCAACTGTACACACACAAAAAATAATAAAACAAAAAATAAGTGAAAAAAAAATTTTTTTTTAAAAAAGCCAATGACTGAGATTTAAAACAGGGCCAAAGAGGGAACCAGGAGCCAGGTCCTGCAGAGCGTTGTATGTCAAGGGACAGAGAGTGCATTCCATAAGAGCATGAGGAGCTGGGGAGGGTTTTCAGCAAGGGCATAACAGGTACTGAAATACGTTTTATCTGTTTTTAAATACACACTAGTGTACTGATGTTGTTGTTAAGTGCTGGAGAGTCGATTAAGACTCTTAGTGATAATATGAACAACAGATCTGAACCATGCTGAGCCTGTGCCATCCCCATCATCTCTGATACACTTTAGCCCATTGTTACAGTCACTATGTCAATCGTCTCTTTGAAGTTAGTTCAAACCCACTAGCCTCTCCACTAGAGAAAGATGTGGCAGCTTAATTTCATAAAGATCACAGGCTTAGGGGAGCTCTGGTGGCCTAGTGGCAAGGAACTGCAACTACAATCCCAGAGGCACACGGTTCGAACCCACCAGATGCTCTGCCGGGGAAGGAGGGACAATCTCCTCCTGTACCAGTCAGATCTGATTTGACGGTACACACGCACACACACACACACAAAATATAAAAAAAATTTTTTTTTAAAAGAAAATGTTCAAAAGAAGAAAAAAAAGATCACAGGCTTAGAAACTCAATGGGCAATTCCCTCTCTGATAGGGTGAGCAAGTTGGAACTGACTCAGTAGCAACGGGTTTGTTTTAATTGGGCCCTAGATTGCCTGGTAAACTCCTTTTCAAGGACCAGCTCTGAGAGGGCCAGGAGGAGGCAAGGAAGCAGTAACAATAGCAGGGTTTATCACTAGAAGATTTAAACTACGAGTCAATTCAGACTCATTATCCATCCTCCAACAGGTTTCCATGGCTATAATTCTTTTGTTTTTTTAAGGTGAAAGCAGCAATAATTTATTAGAGATTCTCTGAGATGGGTCAATCTCCAGAAGTAAAGAGATGGAGAAAGACCTGCAGCTATAAATCTTAATGGTAACAGACTGCCCTGCCTCTCTTCCACAGAAACAGCCTTTTAGTGTCCACCTAGCTAGATCTGGACTACACCATCAGAGTTCTTTAAAATGAGATACAAGAATGTCCATATTAGTTAAACTAACCTCTAAAAAGGTGGCTTTGGTGATGTAATTCATAGGTAGGTGTGCTGTTAATCTAAAAAAGTCACATCTCTCTGGAATCCATCAGCTGTTGTTATTGTTGTGCACCACTGAGTTGGAACCAACCTGTTGCTGATCCTCAAGCGGGTTTTTCACACAGGAGATTGTATATCCTTCTCCCACAGAACAGCTGGTGGGTTCATACCACCTGCCTTCAGGATAGCAGCTCAGCTTCTTACCTCTAGGCCACCGGAGCTCTGACGCTAGGCTGGAAAAGATAATATCTCATTTAACTTAAAGCCCTCAAAAACCCAATGGAGGGATGGAGTGGGTAGGGAGAAAAGTGCCACAATGAATGACTGGAAACCCTAAGTCTCTGTAAACTTTCATTAAGATTAACTTAAAAAAAAGGGGGGGGAAACCCCAATGGAGTATCAGCTCTGAGTCAGTTCTGGCTTGATAGCATTGAAGGGGTTTTTAAAATATGTAAAAAGGTGCCCTGTGGTGTAGAATTAGACTTATAATTGAAAAATTTGCAGTTAACATCCACCAGTTTTTGACACACCAGTGGCACAGCTGGTGTGTCAGATGCTGGTAGATCCCAACTATACCAGCATTTTATGCTGTTCTAGAATTAAGAAGGGAATGTGTCAGGGTTGTATTCTCTCTCCATATCTATTTAATCTGAATGCTGAGCAAATTATTAGAGAAGTTGGACTCTATGAGGAGGAATGTGGCATCAGGAGTGTGACTCATCTGTAACCTGCGTTATGTAGATGACACCACCTTGCTTGCTGAAAGTGCAGATTTGAAGCTCTTGTTGCAGAAGAGCAAGGAATGCAGCCTTCAGTATGGATTGCATCTCAATGTCAAGAAAACAAAGATTCGTACCACTGGACTGATAGGCAATGTCATCATGATGGAAGGAGTAGAGTTTGAAACTGTCAACAGCTTCATCTTTCTTGGATCCACAATTAACACCCTTGGTACCAGCAGTCAGGAAATGAGGAGGATGTACTGCACTGGGAAAATTTGTAGTTAGGGACCTTTCCAAATTATTGAGGAGTCATGTTGTCAGTTTGAGGACTAAGGTGTGTCTGATTCAGGCCATAGCGTTTTTAGTCACTTGCTATGCATCTGAGAGCTGGACAATAAATAAGGATGACAGAAGAATTGATGCCTTTGAGCTGTGGTGTTGGAGAAGAGCACTGAACATCCCATGGAAAGCCAAAAGAACAAACAAATAAGTCTGGAGAGGGTGCAGCCAGAGTGCATGTTTGGGCATGTTGGTAGGAGGGGCTATTCCTTGGAGAAGGACATGATGCTGGGAAAGGTCTTGGGTCGGTGAAGGAGAGGAAGACCCTCGACCAGGTAGGTGGACTGACACACTGACTGCTGCAATGGGCTCTTGTGTGTCATGAAGTGTGAGGATGGCACAGGGTTCAGATCTTTTGTTCATAGGGTCTCAAAAAGAGCTTCAAAGCAAGCTAAGTTGTGTCATCTACATAATGCAGGTTTTGTTCATAAGGTACCTGACTCGTTAACACCTGACAACATCTACCAGCCACTCCTCAGGAGAAAGATGGGGAATCTCTCACCACAAGGATGTACAACCTCAGAAGTCAAGTTGGAAGCAACCTGATGGCGACAGGTTATTTTATAAACCAGAAATGGGGTGCTGTTACCGCCAAGTAGCCAGACTTACCTTGGCTATTTATTTAAAGTGTATTCTGTGTAGCAACCGGTCGCCTCGGGAACTGTCGGGAATGCTGCATGTTTTGGATCCCAGGTTAGCCCTTGTTGTTAGATGCCACCGTGTCGGGTTTGACTCTTGGCAATGCCATCGCCCAGAACTGAACTGCTCCCCAGAGGAGCTCCCACTGGAGCAGAACACAAGGTCTCCCTTCGGACTTCTCTGACCACCCATCTTTCGGTCGGCAGCTGCAAGCACTTCACTGCTGCACCACCAGAGCTCATGAAGCCACGTGTAGCCTTTTTAACGAAGGCCTCGGGTGTCTTGTACTTTCAGAAGCACTGGTCCGTACTGGAGAGAGGACCCCAGACCTGGGGTCTCTGAGAAACGAAGGACTGTAAATATTGGAGAACCCTAACTGCAGGGACATTTCTCATAGTGTCAATTTTGTTCATCAGGGAAAATTTCATGTGAAGTCAAGTACTGGGCTTCTTTCACGTGAAGCAGAGCCAGGTTCAAAATGTGCAGGAACGCCGCACTGGGTTAAGCCAACTCTCGGCACAGCCGGTGAGGGTCTGGAATCGCTGGCCCGGAAGGGCTTTGTAAGTCAAGTTGGCGGTAGTTCTCCTGGCCCAGAGAGCAGCTCTTCGTCGGGCCCTTAATGCTGAGAATGTAGATGGACTATGTGACAAAAGGATTTACTTGAAGCGTGGCCTAAAATCTCAGTGAGCCGCGGATATCGGGATTAAAGCATTAACTAGCCCTGTTACGGAGGCAGCCCTACGTGACCCTCGACCTCTGACCCAGCTCCTCGTTTCCGGGTGAGGCTTCCTCTCCCGCCCCTCCAGCGAAGGGCTGACCCACGGCGCGTGGGCGGGGCTGTATGGGCGGCGGTTAGGGGCGGGGCTTTCTAGGGGCGGGTCTCGCGAGGGGCGGGATTTGAGGAGGTGTCCTAACATTGGGCTAGGAGATGCAGGCGGGGCCTAATTCACGGCTGGGTTGGGCGGAGCAAGGGATAGTTGCAGCCTCTGGGTAAGCTGGGCTTCAGCAGGCAAACTTGAGGCGGCCGGGGGCGGCTGGCCGGTGCGAAGCAGATCCCGGATAAGGACTTTCCACTGTAGGAACGGAATCGGGATCGACCGTAGCCCAAACCGGGTCAGCGAACTCAAGAACTTGGAGTAGGAAATCCCGGAACCAGGATCAACAGCCCCCAGAATTCGGATTGTCAGAACCCGGAATTTAGATCAGAAAGTCCCGGAGCACGGAAGACAGGGTGCGGAGTGGACTCGGCGCGAAGCACGGAGTCCGGATCACAACCCCGCCGGACGGGACGGAGCGATGTCGGGTCGTGGCGCGGGCGGGTTCCCGCTGCCCCCGCTGAGCCCCGGCGGCGGCGCGGTGGCCGCGGCCTTGGGGGCGCCGCCTCCCCCTGCGGGACCCGGCATGCTGCCTGGACCGGCGCTCAGGGGACCAGTGCCGCCTGGAGGCGTCGGGGGCCCCGGGGCCGCCGCCTTCCGCCCCATGGGGCCCGCGGGCCCCGCAGCGCCGTACCAGGTAAGGAGGCACTTCGCGGAGCCGCAAAGGCGCCCGGGCAGCGGCGCAGGGCGCTGGGCGGGAGCCCCCTGGGCCTTGCACAGGGAACTCGGAGGAGATGTGGAGGGCAGGACCAGGGGTCCCCAGAGTTTGTCCTGGTGGGTGGTGCAGGAGTTGGGGGAAAGCTTGAGCGGGTTTCTGGAGTGGAGGGTTTGACGCAGTTGAGACGGCCCGGGGGTTCTGTTGAGCTTTGCGTGGCGGTAATGTTAAAGTGCTCAGCTCCTGACCTGTAGGTCGGGGGTTCGAACCCACCAGCTGCTCCGCGGAAGACTTGTTTGATAACCTGTAAGGGACAGTCTGCTCTGGCTTATGTGAGTCTGAATCCAAGCTGCCGGTTTGGCTTGGTTTGGGGGGGTTGGGGGTGGTGGCAGATCTGTGAAGCTGGAATTCTAAGCCACTGAAAGGCGGAGTTGTGGGTAGTGAAAGTGTGGGTCCCGAAGTCTAGTGTAGGTCCTGGAGTGGGGGGGTTCCTGGGAAGTCATGAGAAAGTTTTCTAAAAATGGGTGGCTCAGGGCCCCCGCTGAAAAGCTGGGGTTTCCGTGCCTCCGTCGCACCCCACGCCGCCCTGGTTTGTAGTCGGGATCTGGCGGAATGGAACGTGCCCTGTCCTGTTGGCCCATGTGTTCCGAGATGGCTCCCAGCTGCTAAGGAGGAAGAAGAGCCTGGCGGCCTAAATGGGAGGCAGAGGCCAGCGCAAGGGGAGGGACGGCTGGGGGTGGGCCTGGGTTCGACCAGAGACGGTGGTGGCAGAGGAAGAAGTGAAGCCCAGCCTCGTGACAGGCCATCCCGGCCTTCTTCTTGGCTTGGTGCCTGTTGAAATAGTGTCCACCAGTTGATCTGCCTGGAGGAGCAGTGAGCCCCAGCGATCTAGGGCTGGGAGGACAGGGGGGACAGGGGAGTCGCTTCAAAGCTCTCCACTTGCCCCGACTCCTCTGAGAAAGGTCATTGAGAGGCAGAGAGGCTTGATCCTCGGGGTCTCTGCCGGATCCCAAAATCTGAACTTTTTATCCACTTTAGTTTTACTTTAGCTCCAGGTTCTCACATACCATGTGTCCCCACGTTCGGCACTGGCTTCAGGTCACCCTGCAGAGACCCCAGAAATGGGACTCATGGGTGTGTGCAGGAGCCCTCACTTTCTAAAGGAATATAACTGGGAAGAGGGACCCTACTTGGGCTTCATCCCTTCCCTAAAAGAATACAAAAGGTCAGGGTGTGTGGATGGGCCCAGGGTTCCAGCGGAAGTCCATCTTTCCCGCCTGGCACTTCCCCTTAGGATGGCCCAGGTGTCCCTGAGGGGCCTCTGCATGGACCGTCCTTGCTACGACCTGGACAGTGGGTTTCCCTTTGGGCCTTCAGTCTCAGACCGGAAGTGGGCAGAAGCCTTGCCAGTTCCCTTGGCGAGCACCTGTGGGAAACTGGCCTTGGGAAGCCCCGGCTAGAATCGATCCCACAAAGTTCTATGAGGAGTGTCTTTGGAACTGTAGCCAAGCCAGCTGGTTGCTCATGTCTCCTGGGGCTTGTGGTGGGAGACTAGGAGATGGCACTGACCCCCTGCCTCCTGAGCTTTCTGTCCCACCTGTGGATATGGAGAGAGACCCCAACTTCTTTAGCGAGTTTGGGAGGTGGGGACGGAGGCTCTGCTTGCCCTGTTTCCAAATGAGGTTGTATGGCTTCTAGGAGAAGCAACTTGACAAGTGAGGCGCGAGCGGAGCCCCTATCCATCAGGACCCCTGAGGGGAGTTGCAAGAAAAGCGATTTGAGGGCCTGACTGGGTCAGTGAGTCCACTGAAAGAACCCACCCACCACTTGTTCTCCCTGTGCATCCCAGTCAGCGAGGGCCTTCAGAAAATCAGAACCGTGCACACTCACAGCCACACCAGGGGCTGCTGGTTCACTGCACAGAGTTCAGAACACTTCTGCTCATGGGGAGTGTGTTCTCTAACCAAGGCTGTGACCCAGACCCCGCGAACATCAAGTCCCCAGGCTCACGGCATGAAGAACGTGCTCTCCTGAGCCCCACATTTTCAGGTCCACAGCATCGGGCCCAGCCACCTGCCACTGCGGCGTGGAAAGAGGGGCCAAAGAGGGGTGGTTACTGCATGTTTCTGCGGCTCAAGGGGTTAAGTCAAGCCTACCTGGCCAAGCTGCAGGCAGAGTTGGGAAGGTGGAGAGCTGAGAGTTCTGGGCCGTTCAGTGGTTTCTTCTTGCTTGGTTTGTTTTAATTCCTGGGTAGTTTTTTTGAAGCAGGAGTGGTACTTTGAAGCCCAGGTATGGGGCTTGGCAGAGTCAGGCTGGGACTCCTAGAACTGTTAAGCAGCCTTCCCTTGGGCTCTCAGGGAGCTGGGGGATCTGAGCCTGGGAAGCCTAGAGCAGATGTCTGGGTGGAACCCATTGGAGGCCCTGCCTCTTGTCTTGGGACTTTCTGTTACCTGAACATCTGCGCAGGAGGGGTGGGTGGTGCTGAAGAGCTTTTGTGAACACCCTATTGTGTAGCTTGGTGGGGACCTCAGGACCTGCTCCTTCGATTGTTCCTTCAGCTGGAAGGTTTGGGACTTGGGTTTATAGCTGTGGCCACAACTGAATTTGTTTTCTGTAATCTACGGCTGTGGCTCATGCACATGGAGAAACAGGCTGTCTTTTGCCTGTCAACAGTTCGGATGAACTTCTTGATGTGGAGAGACTGTGGCAGGATGCCCAGGGCCTCAGAGCCCCCCGCATTTAACTCCTCACCTTCCCAAACGTGCGCCTTCACTCAGCTCTGCTACAGGGTGGGTTCACACTCAGGATTCTGTCCATCTCTGCTTCTGGTCAAGACAAGACTGCTCCTTTGGGGTTGACACATGGGGTTAGGGCTAGATAAAGAGGTGCAGGAAGATGGTCCTCTCCAAGGGGCCAGAAGGGCGTCCTTTTGAATGGTGCTTATCCCCACCCAGCCTGGCTCTGCTGGCTGGCTAGTTGTACTCATTGCATAATCTGGGCCCTGGGGCCAGCCCTGCGAAGCTGCCAGGGACAGCATGTGCAAGGCAGAGCTGCCAAACAGGCCTCGCAGGCAGCAGCCCCGGGAAGGGGGCTGGGCGGAGGGGACACCCAGATGGGCTCCACAGAAATGTTGAGGACCTGAGACTCAGGTGGGAAACCCTCTAGCATCCTGAGGAAGCCACCTGTCACCTGAATTCCTTCTGCTGACTTCCTGATCCTTGCTTCAGACAGCCTTCTCCGTGTTCTCTACTTTGAGATTGCGAAGTTTCCCTTGAGCCAGGGCCAGCAAGGACTTCCAGGTGGTGCCCAGCCTGCGGGCACAGTCCAGGTGCCAGCTGTTCTCCCTACCAGCGGTCACTCAGGAGCAGCAGCTTCTCTTTTGGGGTCTTCTGGGAGTAGGGACTGGAGCAGTAGGGAGATAAGAGAAGGGTCCAGCTCTGTATTGAGGGAAGGGCCACACTCTGATTTGTGGAGACCAGAAGGCCTGTGGATGCTAGTGGTTGGGACATACTCTACACCATCCTGTCAACAGCTTGCTCCCCAGGGTGCTGCAGCTGTGGGCTTGTCACCCCCCCGGACGGCCCTGGCCTCAGTGCAGGGAGGCTCTGCCCTGCGTCTCAGGCCTTAGCAAGCTGTCCGCTTCCTCCGTCACACCACATCTTTTATCCTTGCCCTTGGGTATCACCCCTTGCCTTGCTGTCCTCAGCTTCGCCCTCTTCCAGTTGGGGAAGTTGTATGGCGTTTCCCAGGAGGCCATTTGAGGGCCTAGAGTATCTCAGAGAGTGAGGTGCTGAGGCGGAGAGGGAACTCGAGCAGCTCCCCAGGCCCCTCTGGCAGGCAGGATTCTCCTCCCACTTGGGCTCTGGCAGCCCTGCACTCACCTCATTAGCTGGCATGACTGCCAGGGCAGGAGGGGGCGGGCCAGGTGTGGTTTACACTTCTGCTTTTAGGCGCCTGCTCCCCTTTGTCTCTTTCCTGGTACTCCACCCCTGGGCGCTGCAGTGTGCTACCCGGGGCCAGCCTGCTGAGGGGATGGAGGGAACGGGCTTCAGGCCCCGGTGGGCCCCGCCACTGACCTACATCCCCCCGCCGGGCCACTTCTCCCAGCGGCCTGGTATGACCCCAGGGAGCCGGATGCCCATGGCCAGCTTGCAGGTGGGACCCCCTGCCGGCTCCCCATTTGGCACAGCTGCTCCACTTCGACCTGGTATGCCACCCACCATGATGGACCCATTCCGAAAACGTCTGCTCGTGCCCCAGCCCCAGCCCCCGATGCCTGCCCAGCGCCGGGGGTAAGACCTTCCTGTCTCTCCCACCCTGAGAGTTTCCTTCAACCCCAAGACCTGAGGACGGAGGATTTCATTTCCCTTGGTGGGGGAGAGCCTTGGATGATGAAGGGGTGGAATGGGAGGGATGCAGGTGTCCTTTGGGCAGTGATTTCTTAAATGGGTTTCTTGCCTTACCAGGCTGAAGAGGAGGAAGATGGCAGATAAAGTTCTACCTCAGCGAGTGAGTGTGTTGGGGCACCTTGGACGGATGGCTGAGGGTGGAGGGGCCCCTTCTCCCTGGCCCTGAGCTCGAAGAGGAGGGGGCCAAGCTGTTGCTGACGTATCCCTTCTCCTCAAGATTCGAGAGCTTGTTCCCGAGTCTCAGGCCTACATGGATCTCTTGGCCTTTGAGCGAAAGCTGGACCAGACCATTGCACGCAAGCGGATGGAAATCCAGGAGGCCATCAAAAAGCCTCTGACGGTACGTGCAGCCCTGACACCTCCCACCCCCCACCTTCCCCAGACTGCTTTCTGGGGGCCAAGCAAGGGTCTGCATCCTTCACACTCCATGATAGTACTCATTTCCTAAGGGAGGAACTTGGCTTAATGTTGGGGCCAGCATATTCTTTAAATGACATGCAAAATGCTAGAAAATACTTCACATGTTGTAAAGTTAAGTATTATGAGATTTTTGTTTCAAATATTTTTATGTATGTGTGTGTATTTGCTGAGTTGGGACTTACAATGTACATCCAGTGGTTGGTTGTGAACAAAAGTAACGAATTGACTAGATTGGAGAATAAATAAGCATCGTTCGTTCCAGTGGGTTTTTTGCCTTTAAAAGAGAGGTATTAATAACCTAGAATAATCCCCAGGGTGGTGAAAGCTTTCCAGAAGGCCTGCATGTTAGGGAACCGTGAGGAGTGTTTGAGTTTCACTTAAAATATGAACCTCAAAATATCTAGTGGAATTTTGGGGTAGGGGGTGGGGTTTGGGGAGGTGCGGGGGGAGGGGTTGTGTACCAATGAGGGAGTTTTTCTTTTGCTTTTCAAGGAGAGGAGCAAAGGAGGGGGGAGGGGCTTGTGCGGGGAGAAGGGTGCAACAATGAATGAATGGAATCCCAAAATCTCTGTAGATGTTCATTGAAATGAAAAATAAACAACCTAAATTTAAAAAAAAAAAATCTAGTGGAAACCTGTTGTACTTCTGGTGTACCACCGCCCCCTTGATTCCGAATCCTCAGTACTGTAACCATGTCCTCATATAATTGTGAGCTCCTTCAGGGCTTGTATTGGGTGGTGCTTCTTCACTTCCCAGGCGCAGGGAAGTGCTGCACCATAATCAACACAAGTCTGATTGTTGAATGAGAGAATACAGGGAGACTGGGGAGCATTGTTTTTTTAGTGTGGTCCACCTGTGGCTGATGGTCTTTTTTTTTTCTTTTTCTTTTTTTTTTAGCAAAAGCGGAAGCTTCGAATATATATTTCCAACACCTTCAGTCCCAGCAAGGCTGAAGGTGATGGTTCAGGAACTGCAGGGACCCCGGGGGGAACCCCAGCAGGCGATAAGGTGGCTTCCTGGGAGCTCCGAGTAGAGGGCAAACTGCTGGATGATGTGAGTTGGGGTGCCTGGAGAGATGACTTTTGTGGCCTGAACTCAGCCAGACAGTTGAGCAGCCGTAGAAGTTGCACCACAGGAGAGGCCCAGGCTGGCTCTAAGCCATGTCTGTAGGAAGAAAGCCGGGCAGGCTCTTCCTGATAAGCGTTACATCCTCAGAAACCTGGTGGAAGGTCATTCTGAGTTGGAACAGACTGGATGGCAGTGTTTGAGGTTTTTATGTGGGTGTTTTTTTTAAGCGGTATCTGAAGCATTGTGGTGGCAGAGTGTAACAACGTATTGCTTTACTAGCCAAAAGGTCTGTGTTTCAAAACCATCAGCTCCTCCAGATAAAGATGGGCAGTCTCCTCCTGTAAAAATGTATTTACAGAGGGTTGATATGAGTCAGAACCAGCTAGAACACTGCGGGCTGTTTAGGTTAAGCCTTGTCTGGTTCGCATGTCTATTACCACCCTTTCCTGGAGGTGGCAGTAGACGAAGGAGTACCAGCACATCATGTTGATTTTGAGGGATGGAGACTTGCGTGTGCCACAGTTAAACTGTGCTGTGAAGTCTTCAGGGGCTGATTTTTCAGTAGATTATCAGGCCGGATGAATCTGATGTTTCATTTAGTAGCCAAATGGTTTTATACCACCTGGGGACTCTTAATTTGCAGAGCCCTTATTGCCAGTGACGGTGGCTGTGGGGAGAACCCTTTGGCTCCAGTCTGTCTTTTTCCGAGTCTGTCTTCCTGAAGGAATCAATCCTAAGTATCCTGATTTTAGGGCTGAAAAGATGCACCTCCTTTTCTGGCCTTAGCACAGCTTTGGGCTTAAGAGGGAATTGGGCAATGCCTCCCATCTCATGCCCCTTTCTACTCCCAGCCTAGCAAACAGAAAAGGAAGTTTTCCTCCTTCTTTAAGAGCCTCGTCATTGAGCTGGATAAGGACCTGTATGGGCCTGACAACCACCTGGTGGAGGTGAGTACAGCCCCGAGGTATGAGAAAAGGGGCCTCTGAGGATAGAAGCTCGGATAATGGACCTGTTGGGTGGACAGATGTGGCCTTGCTCCCCATGCTTATTCACACTTACTCCCTCCTCCGTCAGTGGCACCGGATGCCCACTACCCAGGAGACAGATGGCTTCCAGGTGAAACGGCCTGGAGACCTCAATGTCAAATGCACCCTTCTGCTCATGCTGGATCATCAGGTGATGCCGGGGATTGTCTGGGCGGAGTCTTATCCAGGGGAAGGGGGCCGGCTCCTATTGTCAAGGACCCCCTCTTCTGATTCTCCTCCGTCCCACCCCAGCCTCCCCAGTACAAGCTGGACCCCCGACTGGCACGGCTGCTCGGAGTGCACACACAGACGAGGGCTGCCATCATGCAGGCCTTGTGGCTTTACATCAAACACAACCAGCTGCAGGACGGGCACGAGCGCGAGTTTATCAACTGCAACCGCTACTTCCGCCAGGTGCGCCAAGACCACCTCTCCCTGCTGCTGTAGAGCCCACCCTCTTCAGCCTGCTGCTCACTGACCCTGGAGTGTTCTGGCCTTTGATACTCTGCAGATCTTCAGCTGTGGGCGACTCCGCTTCTCTGAGATTCCCATGAAGCTGGCTGGCTTGCTACAGCATCCAGACCCCATCGTCATCAACCATGTCATTAGGTAAATTGATGGAAGTAGGGGTGAGAGAGAGCTCTTGTAGGAGAATCACCTCTGGCTTGATTGGAAGCTGGAGACAAACAGGTTTAGCTGCTTGCTCCCCAGCCCTGAGCAGAGATCAGGCTCCAGGTGGGTGAATGACTACAGCCCTGGCCTCCCCCTTCCCTATCTCAGCGTGGACCCTAATGACCAGAAGAAAACTGCCTGCTATGACATCGACGTGGAGGTGGATGACCCACTGAAGGCCCAGATGAGCAATTTTTTGGCCTCAACCACCAACCAGCAGGAGATTGCCTCCCTAGATGTCAAGGTGGAGTGTCTGCCTCCACGACTTCCTCTAGGGGCCCAAGGCGAGGGCAGCGGGCTGCTGGACAGTTCTCTACACTAGTGCCTCATAGATGGGTAGGACTCAGCTTGGGATAGATCCCTGGGGGAGGGAGGGGCTCAGTGTGACACCAGTATCCTCTCTTCCAGATCCACGAGACCATTGAGTCTATCAACCAGCTGAAGACCCAGAGAGATTTCATGCTCAGCTTCAGCACTGATCCCCAGGACTTCATCCAGGAGTGGCTCCGTTCCCAGCGCCGGGATCTCAAGGTGGGCACTCCTTCCCCAGGTTAAAGTCCAGGTGAAGGCTCCTCTCAGCTCCAGGGGCAGGCTGACTTGTGGGTGGGCAGTTCACTATGGCCTTTCCTCTCTCTGCATGCAGATCATCACTGATGTAATTGGGAATCCTGAGGAGGAAAGACGAGCTGCCTTCTACCACCAGCCATGGGCCCAGGAAGCAGTAGGGAGGCACATCTTTGCCAAGGTGAGGCCCGGCCCCTTTTCTCTCCTCTCAGATTGTGAGGAGCTGAGGTTGCAACTGTCACATTTCCCTTTCCAGGTGCAGCAGCGCAGGCAGGAACTGGAACAGGTGCTGGGAATTCGCCTGACCTAACTCAGGGAGCATTTCCTTCCTAGCTCTGGAGCCATCCCGGCCTCAGCCTGGAAGAGGCCAGCAACATGTAGGATAAGAACGGGGTGAAGGGTGTCTCCTCTCACCCTCCATCCCCAACTTAGTTTCATAAATGTAGTGGTAGGATTCCTTGTTGCTTGGGTCCCCAAAGCCTTATTACTTACTTTATGCATTGGCTTTAATTGGGTTCATAACAGATGCCTCCTCTGTCCCCTGCAGGCAGGCCCAGGTAGGACTGCTGGAGGTCGTGCTGGGACTTTGTAACTGAGACACTTCAGAACCAAAGGCTGCTGGGTTTGCATGTTTACAGACTCCCTCTTGGGGCTCTGGGCAAGGAAGGGGGCCCAGCCCAGACTCTTCCTAGCCTTCCTAAACCAAAGTTCTTCACCATTCCTACAAGCCCAGCCTTGCTGCTGGTTTGTTTTTTGTTTCTTTCTTTTCCTTTGGGTATTTGCACTATTTTGGGAGCAGGTTTTTCTATGCGGGAGCCACTTTTTTTGTACAGGGGTTAAGTTGAGATTTTCCAGGGAGCCCTATTTGGTGCCTCCTCCCTTTCTTTCCTCAATCTATGCAAGCGGCTCCAGCCGCCATCATCTCCTGGGGTGCCAGAGGACTGTCTCCCCAGCTTCTTGGGTCCAGGGAGGTAATGCCTCGCAGAGGGAGGGGACACTCCAGTTCTCTAGCATGGCCTAAAGTGTCGGATATGCATGATGAAGGGGCCACCAAGGTCAGGGTAGGGAGAGGATTGTTGCCCTATGGAATTGGGTATGTCAAGTGCCACTTCTGGCAAGTTTGGAAATTTCAAAATAAATCCTTTTGTGTAAGAGTGGTGCCCAGAACTGGTCATTAAAAAGTCCTACAGAGCTTATACCACAGAGTTTTATTTGGGGTAGTCAAAGAGAATGTGCACCTCACTTCCAGAGCTTCTTGATGGACATGTTTTTTTCACTATCCTTCTGCATGACCTGGAGAGAGAGAGCATGCAAGCACACGTTGTTTTAAACTGAGTGAATGCACGCCTAAGCCCACTGCCTTAGAGGCCCCACCAGCAAAGGGAGAAGGGCTGGGACATGTACCTTGGCTACTGCCATCTCGAAGTCCTCTTGGGTGACATGGACTCGTCGTTCTCGCAGGGCATACATGCCAGCTTCTGTGCACACACCCTGGGCAGGGGAAGGAAGATGAGGCATGGCTCTTGTCCTCCCTCCCTACCCCAGCATGGCCCTTGAACCCACACATCCAGGCTCTACCTCCTATTTTCCAATTACCTTCACTTCAGCCCCCGAAGCTCCTGGCATGAGTTCAGCAATTTTTCTCAGGTTGATCCCCCGGGTCAGATTCATTTTCCTAGAGTGGATCTTCAAAATGTCCAGCCGGGCCTAGAGACCAGAGAGATGAGAGGTCTGAGCCTCGTCCTTCCACATCTAGAGCCAGAGCCTCTCCCAGCATGACCAGTCACAAACCTCTTCATTGGGTGGTGGGAATTCAATTTTTCTGTCAATACGCCCAGGGCGAAGCAGTGCGGAGTCCAAGATATCAATCCTATTAGTAGCCATGATGACCTGGATGGAAAGGGGTTGGTGCCATCAACCAAGTTCATCCCCAGCCTGCCAGTCGCCTGGCCCCCCTGCTGGCTCACCCTGAGCCTGGCACCACATCACCTTGATATTCTTAGTGGCCTCAAAACCATCTAGCTGGTTGAGTAGCTCTAACATGGTACGCTGCACTTCACTGTCCCCTCCAGAGCCACCTTCCAGCCGTGAGGAACCAATGGAGTCAATTTCATCCATGAAGATGATGGAGGGTGCGTGCTCACGTGCCATTACGAACAGCTCTCTCACCATCCTTGCTCCTGTGTGGAGGGCAAGCTGGCATTAGGGAACTGACAACCTCTGTCGCCACCCCACTTCCACTTCTCATGTTTCTGGCCAGTTACCTTCCCCAATGAATTTCTGTACCAATTCAGAGCCAGAGACACGAATGAAGGTGCAGTCTGTATGATGAGCCACAGCTCGGGCCAAGAGTGTCTTGCCAGTGCCGGGGGGCCCATAGAGCAGTACCCCCTGAAAAGAAAAAGCAGAACTCAGGGCATAAAGTTGGCCCTTCATTCCAATCCTGTGGGCACTGAGCGCTGGCTGTATGCTGGACACTAAGGACACAAATAAGCAGCGTCCCTTCCAGAGCTAAACCAGACACTCATTTCACAAGCAAGTCCTGCTCCTTACCTTGGGCTGTGCAATACCCAAGGCTTCAAAGAGCTCGGGATGTTTAACAGGCAGCTCAATAACTTCCTTGATCTCCTTGATCTGCTTATCCAGTCCACCTATCATCTCATAGGTCGAGTCTGGTACTTTTTCCACCATCATCAAAGACACTAGCGGATCCACCTTGTTAGGCAGGATCTTGTGCAGGGTGTAGCTGTCATTTCTTAGAGCCACCCGGCAGTTGGGTGTCACCTAGGTTAGGGGAGCAAGGAGTTTTAGAAAGTGGTGTGGTGGGGGCTGACCCTGACCCCACCCCTCCTGCGATACTCACATCATTGATGTCAATGTTCTTGTCCACATCTACAACAAACTTGCCTTCAGGATGTACCTGAAACAAAATGGGTTTATAACCTTCCTTCAGTCACCAAATCACGAATTCCCTTCAGGAAAACCCATCAGAGTCCTAGAATAAAAGCACTATCCTTGCAAAGCCACATGCAGAGGGGCAAGGAACATAACAAGCACGTGGTTCTTGTTATGCTTCACCTTAACCAACACTTTCTTCTTATCCATCGCTCGGACAACTTCCCCCACATAGGAGCCCTGTTCCTGCAGCAGCTGTAGCTCCTCTCGCAAGAGTCGAACTAGGTAGGAAACACAGACAGCAGTTTGTGAAAACACAGACTGAACCTTCTTCCAACCTGTCCCCTCTCTCACAACTCAATTTAGCAAACATGAACCAAGCACTTAATAGTTTTAGAAAGAAAATCATGCACACGTCAAATCTTGTTCAAAGAAAATCACGTCAAACAATGTCAATAGAAACACAAGCACTTCTGTGGAGCCTCAAGCAGGGAGATGCAGAGCCTTCTGTCCTGCCCCCTCACCTTTAGCATTTAACTCATTCCTCTGTGCCTGCAGCCTCCGGAGGTTCTGGCTCTTGTCATTCACAATCAGCTGTAGAAGACAAGGGACAAAGTGTACCACCCAAAGACAGAAGGTGGTGGGATACTGGTCAAAACCCTTCACGGGTGGGCATGAGAAAAGCCCAAGTTCTAGTCAGGCTGCTGCCACTTAAACAGCTTAGGTAAAGTTAGACCAACCCACTGAAAATAGATGTTTCACTGCAAATGTATGTAATATCATCTTCTGTTTCCTTTTCAACTATTTTAACACATTGCCGCACACTTGTAAATTGATGACGTGCTTCTTGTTGTTATGTTCTGTCGAGTTGTTTGCGACTCATAGCGACCCTATGTACAACAGCCCTAAACCCTGCTCTATCCTGTGCCAATCTCATTGCCTCCGACACACCCATCC